GAATTTCAGGGCATCTTGCCCTCCAGGGGAAGAAACTGTATCTTGGGTTTTGTTCAGAAGTTTTGTGATGCTCGCTGCTGGCCACTGTCCTGCTAGGAGACAGGCGGTTGTTGCATTTGAGAATGTTGCTGTTAGATGCCAAGATTGTGTATATATGTATATGTGTATATGGGGGGTGTGTGTGTGTGTGTGTGTGTGTGTGTGTATGTATATAACTGAGGCCTGGCGGCAGGGCAGGGCAGGGCAGAAGAGTTTCGTTTACATATATCAGTTAAGTAATGGCCGTCAGTTAAAAATCTTGTAAATCGTCAGTAAATATTATATATAAAAATATCTTATTTACTGACAATCTACAAGATTTTTAACTGATAGCCATTATTTAACTGATATATGTAAATGCAACTCAAGTTTATTTTTGCAGACTTTTTGCTGACCGTCATTTTTAGCCTGACATTTTATTGACAGTTGGCAACCCCGATCACAGGTTTGACTTGTCTCCATCCTGCTCTGACTCTGAAGAACAGCTTTGGTATTGAAAAGATGGTGGGCCCAAACCAAGCCCCTCGAAACTTAGGACCCAAATTTTGCTGCTTGAGCCCATTCTAGTGGTTCTAAATGCTCACGGGAAGCATCAAACTTCTCAACTTCATTGCCTTTTTGCTTTTCAACTGGAACCTATCTGCACAGCAGAGAGACCTGGAAACAGCAGGGTAAAAAGCCTATGCAGACAAGACAAAACTATTGAACTATTGTCCCTGTCAAGGAACTAAACCAAGTCTGGGCACACAGTTAGACCCCATCTACACTATGATTTGAAATCCAGAGTGGAACCAGGCCTCTTGACTCAGTTTGAAACATAGTGTGGAAGGGGTCTGACAACAGGCAAAATTCACATTACTGCTACCCCAGCAGCTACTTTTATCCTACTAGAGACAGCCTGGGCAGCAAAAATGAGCTTTGCTGCCCTGGGGCATACTTTCTGAGGCAAGATTGAAATTCAGCTTCCCTGTCCTTGATTGACCCTGATCCTTTCTGCAGAGATGGACTAGTAAGGGCACTGGTTGTGATGATGGATTTGGTGCCAATGACATCTTCACCCTAGCAAATGAGGTAATGCTAAGCATTCAGGTACTTAGTCACAGGAGGTGGGGGAAAAAATACTGCCAGGTCTTTGGACATGGCTCAAAGTGATCATCATTACATGGCAGTGACCTTCTAGCCTGAGCCCACCTTGGCTAGCCCAGAATAGGTGACTTTGAGGGGGAAAGTAAGCTCCAGGCATCTTGGCTGCTCCTGATCTACTGGACTTCAGCTTGCCATCATCCAGAAAAACATCCTAGAAAGTCAACGAAGGTAGTGGGTGCTCACATGCTGGACTTATCTCTCTTTGTCTAACTAGGCCTGTCTTCTAATGTTGTTCCCATGTACCTGGGAGAGATGTCCCCCAAAAACCTGAGAGGTGCCATTGGAGTGGTGCCCCAGCTCTTCATCACCATTGGGATACTTGTAGCTCAGATCCTTGGTCTCAAAAGCATCCTAGGAAATCGTGAAGGTAAAGTCACAAGCCAAGGCTCCGGTCCCCAATAGTTACACAGGCGGTCACCGCTCTCATCAGCACCTTGTGCTTTGTTCTCTTGCAGGCTGGCCGGTGTTGCTGGGGCTGACTGGCATCCCGGCAGCTGTGGAGCTCATCCTATTGCCCTTCTTCCCAGAGAGCCCCAGGTACCTCCTGATACAGAAGGGAGATGAAGAACAAGCCAGGAAAGGTACAGCAGCTGCTGCTTTATGGTCCTAGCTAGGTGAGAGGAGGGAGGGAGATGGGTGGCAGCATGGTCTGCATCCAGGGATGCAAGCTGTTGAGGAGGATGGTGAACCAAAAGCCAGGGTAGGGTGCTCTGGATTAGTGGTACCAACAGGAACATGCTACCCGTTCAGCAGCCGGCTGAGGATCTGGAAGCACTTGATCAACAGTAGTTAGTGGAAATGTCCCTGACGGTGGATGCCTAGCAAGCAACTGATTTTTGCCTAATGCTACCAGGATAAAAAACCTTTCCGGGAGAGGAACACTGGTCCATGTCACTTCCTCTATTGGCTTATTTGTACCAGGACCTGCTGACCTGTCCCCCCTGTGGGAAGTTGACTGCCTACCACCTCCTACCATGTGGTTGCCAGTCGCTCGGCTTTTCCCACCATGCAGAAGTGGCCAACAGGCCCTGTCTGGGACACCTCAAGTCATCTCTTGTGTCTGTTACTCCAGTCCCCACCTCTTGCTGCGCACCCCTGGGAAGTCCAACTTTTCCCTTCTCTCCTCTCACACAGCACTGCAAAGGTTGAGAGGCCGGGACAATGTGGATGATGAGATTGAGGAGATGTGTCAAGAAGACCAGTCGGAGAAGCAGGAAGGGCGTCTATCTGTGATGAACCTCTGCACCTTCCAGGCCCTGCGGTGGCAGCTCATCTCTATCATTGTCATGATGATGGGCCAGCAGCTCTCTGGGATCAACGCGGTAGGTGGGGGAAGAAAGGCCACCCTAATGCACATGGGGTAGGATGATCCTGGAGCCTATTTCAACTGGGCACACAAGTCCAGTCTAGACCCTGGCAATGGATAAGTTAGCCCCATGTCAGGGAGCTAACATTTGGGAAGATTGGGGTTTGGTCATCGGTCATTTAATGGAGAAAGGAGCTGACCACAGCGACTGGATCCAGGTGCACACCTCTCCAAAGCATAGAGGAGTTTGGGGTCTGGTTAAGTGGGGGTCTCCCCCTACCCTGTATGGCCATGCATAACCACAGCTGTGATCTGGGTTCAGGTCTTCTACTACGCAGACAGAATCTTTGAGTCGTCTGGTGTGGAGGCGAACGCAGTGCAGTACGTTACTGTGGGGATAGGCGCCGTCAACGTGGTCATGACCTGCCTTGCGGTAAGCACCTCCCAGAGCCCTAGAGCTTCTAATTCCCTCCCTGTTCCCTTTCTGGTTTCAGTCACAAAATCCCCACGAGCTCAAATCACCTCCCCCACTGCACAGCAAATGGCAAATCAGTGCCATGGCAGCCCAAGGTGGGACTGCAGCTCAGATGGAGCTTTAAAACAGCTGGCCCAAGTACTGCTAGTAATGCAGTGCCTGCAGTATGAAGGTGAGTGCAAAAGCTGTCTCAAAAGCTAGGTCAAATCCTTGGGCAAGCCCAGGGCAGCTAGCACAGTTAGCCACACCTGTGCTCAGATGAAGCTTGCTCTGGTGCATCTATCCACGCTTCAGGAAATGTTTATTATTTACATGGTTTCCAAAATAGGGGGTTTTGTTGCCATGACACATGATTGCCATGGGAACTTCATTGCAGAGAGACCCTAGGAGATTTGATTGAAAATGAAAACTTCTCTATTTAAAAAACACCAAACAACTAAACCTTCTGGAGAATTTTCTGGACACGTCTATCCCGATGTGGACTCCTCTGGGATTGTCTTGGACAGTCCTGTCAAACGGGGACCTCTTCCTCTATTACCATTACCCTATTCTGTGGGACTTAGAGTAACTCCTGAAGTACACCCCTATACAACTTTTGAGAAATCGGTAGTTTCCTTCCTCTTCTAACTCGAAGGACTCTCACCAGAGGTTGCACAGGCCTTGGCTCAGAAAGCACTGCACTAAGCTGGCAACTTGTTGGCCTCTACCTTGCTTTGGGAGAAGGCCTGGTTGGCTGTCTCAGGGTCTCCCTACTTAACCTCTTGTTGTGTCCTCCAGGTTTTCATCATTGAGCTGGTGGGGAGGAGGATTCTGCTTCTTGTCGGCTTTGGGATGTGCTGCGTCTCCTGCGCCGTGCTAACGATGGCCCTGAACCTCCAGGTGTGTAGCTAGATAGCTTAGCCAATGGCTGCCGTGTGTTTGTGGACCTTGGAGGGGATGTGAGCAGGGCTGGCATTTCAAAAGCTGCCTCCCCACTTTGCAGGGAGAATATATAAGAACTCCCCTGCACTTACAAGCAAGTACTGTAGGGGACTAATCATTCTGCTGGAAAAGCAGGGAAACACTTGATTACATGGATGGGCTCATTTTGGTAAGAGAACTCAGCAGCTTGCATGCAGCGTGGCTGGCTCTGGCTTCATAGTCTCACTTGATGAGCCCACAATGTGCATTGCTTGCATCTGCTCACGCAAACTGAGGTTCCAGCCCAGCCAAGGCATTGGGTTCAGATACCAACACTGCCAAGTCCACACTCCCCACCACTATGAGCTCTGCCAAATAGGAAACATCCCCGGGGGCTAGAGCTTCCCAAAATCTCATGGCAAACCCTAGCCTGGGTTTGTTGCTTTAGATGTGAACTGACTCTAACCAGTGACTCACTTTCCTCAGACCAGTGTTCCCTGGATGCCATATATCAGCATAGCCAGTGTCATCGCCTATATCATTGGACATGCTATTGGGGCAAGTAAGTATGCATGGACCGGTCTGATCTCCTATGTCAGCACAACTGGGCGGAGTGTTGCTTGCAGCATTAACAGCAACAAGGGGTGTGGACACATGACACATTTAAACCAGTGTAACTTACCTTGGGTATCCAGGGCAGGACAGACCCCCAGCTTACCTAAGGCAGCTGTCTGGCAGTTATAAAACCTCACCACTGTGTGGGATTTTGCTGGCAACATCTTGCATTGATCAAATGATGCCCTGAGATTAAGAGTATAGTTCCTCTTGACTTGGCTAGGGGTAACTTCATCTGGGAATAGACTGATCTGCATCTGTGTAGAGCTGTGCATCTGCTCCATATTTATACCTGCATAAAGGCAGACTGCCCTGATGCAAACATCATGCGTCCATCCTGGGGGACTGATCCATAGATCTCTGAATAGCCATGTGACCTAGAAATATTGATTGAAACTGCATCAGACAGGGTGAAGCACCTTGCATTTCAATAGGCAGGCCTCTTAACCCTTAAGCTGAAGGAGGATCTCCAGAGCATGTGTGGATAAAGAAGATCTAATTTTTAGAGGCTCTGCAAAGACCTTGCTATGAGAAGGATGGCGCCTACTGGCTTTGCAGGAATGTGGCTCTCTTGGAGTTATACAGCACAAGTAGGGTGATAAGAAGCTCAATGCCTGCCTGCTATAAACCTCATTGTGTGCCTGGCTGGGCTGTGAAGTGGGTGGGAGCAGTGTATGTCTAGCTGGAAGCACAACTTGACCTCATAGTTTTGGTGCACTTGGTGCCTGTTAGCAGGAGCCTGCCTGAGCCATTCTGAATGCTACAACATGTTGTTTTTGAGCTCCAGGAGGGCTTCACTGGCAAATGGAAACTGCTGCTGCCTCCTCCCTCCTGCTCCCCTGGTGCAGTCGAACAGGCCTGGAGTGCCAGCTCAGTGCAGAGTGCAGGGTTGCTGGCCGGGTCAAGTGCAGGATCTTTTCTCCTCTCCCTCCCGATGTATTTCTTCCTCAGCTGTGAACATTCAGTGACTTCTGGCCAGCAAACAGTTCCATCTGCCCTATTTCCCTTTGCTTCCCATTGCCATTTGGGAAATACATCACCAGGCTAGGCTGGCACTCAGAGCTTTGTGTGACCAAGAGTCTGTTCCATTAGTAGACAGGAGCAGTGACCTTCCTGCCGCCTGGTTGCCCTCAAGGAAGACAATTTACCCCATCAGATAGGTCCATGCTGAGTGTGAGATAAGCAATAGAAAATGACCTGCTTTACCTCATTATGCAGCAAAGGGGAAGTGCAGTGATCTCTCGCACCATTTCCCAATAAGTATATGCAAGGGCTAATTTAGATCTGAAAAACAAGGGCTGCCTCGATAATACCTGTAGGAGTTTCTCTAGACCCATGGTTCTCAACCAGGATGCCACACAACCTTGGGATACCTTTAAATTGCTTCAGGGATGCTGAAGAGTGTCACACAATGTTAGCAGTGTTAGGTGTGCAAACATGATCCACAAGAGAAGTCCAGAGATTTCTAATAGGAATCCACAGTGTCAAAAACATGCTGACCTGCTGAGGTCTTTCTAATTCCTTTGTAATAGAAGAATTGCTCTGCCTTGTTTTTTTCTGTAGTTAAAAAGCAAGTGAAAACTAAGGTCACATTTTCTGAGCAACCTCTTAGGTTTATGGAGTGGTGCCTTGAGTCTAAAATAAGTTGAGAACCATTGCTCTAGAGACCTGCAGATAGCAGTTGTCTCCTAAATGGTACTTGGGCAAGTCTCCTAAAGGCACACGCTGTGTGTTTATTTGTCTGAAAAATGGAGGTGATTAACCCTGTAATGAAATGGCTCATGTGCACATGACCCGCTGCCCTCCACTGACCAGAATCTGAGAACCACAGGAGCCAAGCCCATCTGGACCAGTTAAGAAAGCAAAGTTGGCCGCCAGGGTGTTGCAGCCCATGGTCAAGTCTGAAAGTGCTCTGTCCAAGCCCAGGTGAAGGCATGAAGTCAGCTCCAGATGGGGACAGAGGTGCAGCTAATGCTGTAATGGTGATAAGGTCTAGTTACCATCATCACCATCTACTTTTATTAATCTAATCCTGCAGCTGGGTTATCCTGGCTGGTGGTTCAGCACCTGTTGTCCTCCACCACGCCAAGCCTTCTGGGGATTTAAGCGATGGAAACTGCTGTTCAAACCTGCAAACACTTCCTTTCCCTTCAGGCCCCATCCCTTTTGTACTGATCACCGAGATGTTCCTTCAGTCATCCCGGCCTGCAGCATTCATGGTGGGTGGATCTGTACACTGGCTCTGCAACTTCACTGTGGGGCTCGTGTTCCTCTATATGCAGGTGAGTAAAGCCTGAACCCCAAAGTCTCATGCCTGCATGCTACTGAGCCCCTCTCTCAGCATCACCTGACTTCTCACTCTGGCTTTGCTCTTTCAGCAAGCGCTTGGGGCTTACAGTTTTCTCATCTTCTGCGTCATCTGCCTGGCCACCGTCATTTACATCTTCTTCATTGTTCCTGAAACCAAGAACAAAACCTTCATGGAGATCAACCAGATCATGGCCAAAAGGAATGGGGTGGAAGTAACAGTGGACAAAGAGGAGCTCATGGATATCAACACTATCCCAGGGACTTGGAATGAGAAGAAAGAGGTCACCACGAACAGTAGCCTCTAACCCACCTCAGCATTTGATGGACCCCGTGGTGACCAAGGGTTCTCTTCAGTGGGGGAGCAGGTGTCTTACCCGACTTGTGCTTTTCCATTCAGACTGTCTCTGCACATCTTCTGCAGCAAGAGTATGTCCAAAGCAGGCAGCGAGCTGTCTCTTTAGCTATCCCCTGCCAGCACTAGCACAAATGTTGCTGCTAGTGAATGATTTTTGAAAGGTTAATCTCTTTCCTCTGTGTTGACAGCTGATTCTGGAGCCCTGAGTCAAACCCTGCAACGTGTCCAGCCCCTGGGTCCAGAGGCAGCACTTCCAAGGTGCTATTTAGACACTGGCTATCCATCGTTCCTGTGCAAGAGGAAAAAATAGCGTCCATCTCAGAGGCAGGGAAACTGAGGCAAGGAATTGGCCGATCCAAGTTTACAGAGTGAGTCAGCAGTGCAGCCAGAGTTAGTACTCTGAGATCCCTGACCCTCAGCCTGCACTCTGGCCCATAGAAAATGCTGCTTCTCGCAGTTTAATATACCTAGTGTGGTTGCCTGCACATACCAAGTGCCACGTATAACAGTCTGGGGACCAGCCAGAGACCAGAGCCAGAGACGCAGGGTTTAGTGAAATCCTAGTGGCAGATGGTCATTTTGCCATTTCTCATGGAGCCAGAAACAAGGACTGTGGCCAGAAAAGGTAGCAAGACCTCAAATTACTAAGTGAAGTGGGATAACTCTGCACGCCCAATCTGCTCTGTTCAGAGCAAGGCTTCAACGTGTGTGTGTGTGTGTGTGTGTGTGTGTGTGTGTCTGGGTGGCTCTAATGGAAATGGAGACCAAGAGGACTTGGTTTTTCAGGCAGGTCTTAAGGCTGAGCCTTCCTTCTAGCACCAGCACCTACTTCCATGTGCAATTTAAATATTTTGGGCATCTCTTAAAAAAAAAAAAAAAAAGATGGTACCCAGGTGCCTGAGCACCTTTCCTATTGGTGCAATCCAGTATTAGCTCTGCCAAGGTGACCCGCATTGAACCCACAAAAATGAGATCCTGAAATCCTGGCCCAAGGGGACATCCAAAGGACTGGGTGAGAATGAATCTGAAACCATCCAGGCGATGCAGGAAAGCAGGCATGCCCGGGAGGGAGAATGGTGGTCTGTGACCATGTTGCTAAAGCCACAGTCGATCTTTGATAGACTTTTTGTCTTGGTGCCATTCCATAGGTCCCATTCTGGTCCTAACTCCCTTTCATTCCTTCAATTCATTTGCGTTATTCCTGATTTACATTGGTGTGACTGAGAGAAGAATCAGACTCATGAAGTGCCAGTCCCCTGAATCAGCAGCTTTCTACAAAACTTCCTCGGTCACAGTAGTCAGAAAACTATTAAACCTCTGAAATCACCCATGGAAATCAGTCTCTTTCAGTAGAGGTTGGACAGATCCTAAGATTAGTCTTTCTACTTGTCTTCAGACCAAATCCACCAGACAGGAACAGCTGCAGCCGTGAAGTGTTTGACATCTGTTTCCCTCTTGGTGGCACTGCGCAATTGTGTTTTTGTAACAAGGAGGCAAAATAAACCCCCTTTGCTTCTAACAACACAGCACTTCTGGGAAATCCAGCGTGTTCTCCAAAAACATGACTGATAATTGTAATGCTCCTTTAGTATCTGGAGGAAAAGCCATGACTTTATGAAGGACCCAGAGGACAATTCTCCATCATTGCTTGTTTGCAGTTGCTATTTGCTTAAACAAATGTATGAAGCGCATCTCAATTTTGATGTTATATGCAAACAAATCCTTTAAGATGGCGTGTGGGTACTGATGGCTGCTTGCTGCATCGTGTTTCTTGTCTCTTTTTACTGCCAGCATAATGTTGCTCTTAAGCTTGGAAAATGGGAGAAAAACTGTTTCTAATATGCAGAGGATGAGTTTGGACTCGTGTACATGGGGGTAATACTAGAATAATGCCAGGGGGATCTGCTGAAGGGAGAGGAGAATGATAGCGATATACCATATCCCTATGGTGTGTAAAGTTGCTTGTGAAATATGACATCCCAGCTTTGAAGAAGAGAGAGGAGCTGAGGACCCAGTCAAACTGATTCTTTTTGTATCATCAGATCCATTCTTGTATGAACTTAGACCTGGTGGAAGAGGGCAGCCCCAGAGACACAATCCCCAACCAAATAGAGCAGGAAGGACTTAAACTCAGGTTCTCCCCATCCCAGGAAAGGAAACTTATTGCTGGTTTGGGCATTTGTCCCTGCTGAAGATGTTGCTGCCCTTCACTAACTTTAAGGTACAAATGAAGGGATGTGAAATGGAGGGACTGCAGTGCTAAGAGCACAAGGGCGGTGGGGAAACTGGCCTTGGGCAAGCTAAAGGATAGTGATATGGCTGCTAATCTCTACCGGTAGTCTGCTGTTTATGGATGCCCAAACTCTAGCCTTTCAAAGAGCCATTGTAAAAGACAAGCAGGTTTTTAGGTGTTTAAGCAGCAAGCAGGGGTTTTGGGCAAGTGCTTTGGGATAGTCAGGTAAAGCCAGGATGCAATGGAACAAAAAGTCCGGGATTAAAATGCAGTAAATGGAGTTCTGTCAGCGATGCTGCAATGGAGAATGAGAGCAGGGTCATGCCCACAATGACCTTTCTCATCTAAGAGAGAAACTCTCACCAGTGAAAGGGCAAGATGAATGCTAGCAGGACATCCTTCAGTCCCTGTGGTACCTCCCTCCAAGCCCAGCTCCCTGGGTCCCCCCCATCACAAGTGCCCCCCAGTAAAAAGAAAATACATGGTCTGTCCTGTGGGGCAGGCCATAAATTAATGGCCTGTCCTCTTGGAATGGAAACAAGGGACTTAAATCTCCAGCTTCTCAATCAGATTTGTAGCTTTTCTTTCTGTCCAGAGACCAGGCCAGGGAACTCCACATGCTGAATAAACCTGTTGTTCGGTATCAGTATTATCAGGTAGCACAATTGTAGTTTCCTTCCTTCTGCTCAGCACTGTGCTCTGCTTTGGGGTGACGGATCTCACTGCGCCCGTCCAGAGGGCAGATACCACTCAGTGTCTGGCTGTTTGGTTTGGCTTGTGAGAATCTATCGCTCCATGTGCCTGCACACAAGTGTTCATATAAGCTGCATTTTTGAATTTCAGCTAGAACTAGCCAAATACTAATTTAGTGCCTTATATGCATCATCTGATGGAGACAGAAGCCTGTGTTGTGGCTGAGCAGAATTCTGGCCGCTCTTTCTAGCAGCTGGATTGCTCCCGTCAGTGGATACCAGCTGCATGCACACACCTCTTCGGCTGTGGATTTCAAAGTCTTTTGCAAAGGGTGGGGAAATGCCCCTCCTTCTACTGCTGGAGAAATGAATGGCCTGTCTGCAACAAGCTGCAGAGGGGTGCAGTTTTACAGTGCACTAGTTACTCTGTTCTCTCTCCCCGCATGGATGCTCTAGTCTCGTGTGCACTGCAAGCCGTTCCCTCTGCTCTGAAAACAGAGTAAACTCCCTCTCACCTACCAGGGGGAGTGAGCATGGAGTGGTGTGCATGTACTGGATTCAGTCCTGCACCTCAGTAAGAGATCCACTGCATTGCACGCAGCTGCTTGTCAAAGTACCAGACCCGTTACTTGGACTCCAGCCCTAGGAGAGTGGTAGGTAGCAAACTGTGGTCTGTCGCCTACCATTCTCTGTGCTGTCTCTTCACACCAGCGGTGTCCCTTGCTGTCCAACTGTGTCTTTGGTCCCGGCCAGGCTCCTTTTCCCATCCCAAAGCTTCGGCTGCCACCTAGCGGTACGATCAATAGGACAGTTAGAATGAGCATCACAGAGCTGAGAGGGAATTTAAGCATAGGTGCCAAGTACATGGAGGCCTGAGGGCAGAAGGCAGGGTGACCACGTGTCCCTAACTGGGCAGGACAGTCCTGAAATGGGAACATCAAGTCCTGGTCCTGGATGGCATGACTTTGAGACAGAATTTGTCCTGGATTCCTAGTATTGTGCAGGGATCCAGGTTTTCCATTCACCGTGGAAAAATGCAGGAAATGGCAGGTTTCCCTTTGTGGACTGGCAGCGCTCCAGCCTGCAAGAGGCTGTGGGGAGCGGGATGCAGGGGGTGCCGGGTGCATGTGTGTGCACGCACACATGCACGTGGCAAGGAATACAGCCCCAGGCAGCGATGGAGAGCAGCTCCCCCAGCTGCCTGCAGGTAAGGCTATGGGAGGGGGCAGATTGAGGCCCCCACAGTGAGGGAGGAAGTAGGGCAGGGACTGGGCCTGGGGCCTTGCCTACCCAGGGTGGTGTATGGGACCCAGGGCCAGGGCAGGGGGTGGGACAGAGCCATGGGTAGTTTGTCCAGGGGGCAGAAGTGGAGAAGAGTGGCTCCCTGCCACGGCATGCACCCCCAGGGAGGAAGGTATGGAGGGTGAGGCACATGCCCACCAGATTTATGCATAGGGCAGGGGTGGATGTGGGCTGCCTGCTACAGCCTTGGGGATCCCCATCCTGCTGCCCTCCCCTGGGAGCCCCATGCTGGCTGTGCCGTCATGGCAAGGCACCCCCTGCCCACCTGGCAGCAGCAGGGGTGGCGGCGCTGAGTTGTGCTCCCTGGGTAGCAGGGTGGGGAGCCCATCTCCACCTCCATGGGCTCCACTCAGCTCTGCTCTGGCTGTGCCACGGCCGGGGGAGGCGGCGTCATCTTAGGCCTCCCACCCAGCAAAAATAAAAGTCAGTGCCTATGACCTCAAGATTCATTTAGGCTAATCCCTGCATGGACGCGGGCCACTCCGTTTCTTAGCCGTCCCTGGAAAATGCTTCTCCAGCCTTGTCAACACCTCCAGTGAAGGAACTTCCCTGGGCAGCTGGCTCCATCATCCCGCTGTTCCAAGAGTAAGGCACTGGTTTTCTGAGACCACATCTAAGTCTGCTTTCTGTTGCAACATAAGCCCCTTGCTTTACATCTTGCCTTCTGCAGTGGAGGAGAGCTGCCGTGCTTCCTTGTCTTTAGGGTAGCCTTTCAACTGTGGAAACTGCTCCTTTCTTCTCCAAACTAAACAGCCTGGTTCGCTCTGCCTCCCCTTGTACAACTGGCATGTTAGCCTCTTTGCTGCTCCCCTCTACATCTTTGCCACTTTTTCTGCATCCTGAGTCGGTAACAGCAAGGAGTCAAGGATTTATTTATTTATATATATGTGTGTGTGTGTGTATATAGATATATATATAGAGAGAGATATATATAAATTTGTATCCAAGGTCAAACTGGCCAAAACTAATTCCAAATCAAGAGTCCAGAACCATAAGTGGCCCTACTACCGGCAAACATCCTTCACCTGCACCTGGGGCTTCAGATGTTTCCAAAATCTTTGGCGGGCATCCTCTGTGTCCAAGAAGGCAGTTTTCCTGAACCGCCTCACAGAGCTGCTCTTCTAACGTGGTTCAATACTGGTTGAGGTGCAGCGGCTTTAAGCGCAGTTTATGGAAGTGGGAGGCTCTTCCCTTGCTTGCTCCAAGGGCCTTATGGCTAAGGGCAAGCAAAACTAGGGGGCATGTGAACCCCAAGCCTCCAGGCGTGGGCCTGCAAGCAAGGAGTTAGGGATGACCTAGTAGTTGACTGATTGCTGCAGCTCCTGTCATTACTGGAACGACAATTATTTCCCTCTCTGTAGTGGTCTTTCATCCAAGGACCGGCAAGTTGTTTACACCTGTGAATAGATGAATGCTCCCATCAGCCCGTGCATTAATTATCAGTACATCCACTCTTTTCAGATGGACAAGGGCTGTCCAGGCTGTCAGGCTTAGTTGGAGAAAGTTGGAGAGCCTGACTGTAGCTGGCACATGGCATCTATCACTGCAATGGGAATTAACCCACTTCTCCATCATGCTCCTATGCTGTAATCTCCCCCCTCCTCTTATTGGCAGTCACTCATTTGTCTCTGCCAAGAGAGCGGGAGGGAAAGCACAACTGCACACCCAAGTCAGATGTGGTCTCTTCCAGAGACTTATGACTTGTGTCTAGTGAAAGATGGGACTCGCCTCCAACCAGCGCCACTGTAAGCAAACTGGCCAGTGAGGTGCAGATCCTTCAGGGTGTTTACAGAACTCAATGGGAGTGAAGTACCTGCTTGTGAGGGTCTGGGCTGAAAATCCTTCACATCCCAGATTCACAGAAGTTTCGGGCTGGAAGGGACCTCGTGAGATCATTGGGTCCAGGCCCCCTGCTCTGGCCAGGAAAGACTGCTGGGGTCAAATAACCCCAGCAAGGTGTGTATCCAGGCTCCTTTTGATGATCTCCGGGGTAGGTGCCTGCACCACCCCCGCTGGGAGTCTATTCCAGAGTCTGGGCACACGAACCGTGAAGAAGTTTTTCCTTATATCTAGTCTGAAACCTTCTTCTAGGAGTTTATGACCATTGCTCCTGGTTTTTCCCCTGGGGTGCTTTGGCAAATGGTTGTTTGCCTAGCTCCTGATATATTTGTAAGCTGCCACCAAATCCCTTTGAAGTCTTCTCTTTTCTAAGCGGAGCATTCCCATATCTGTCAGCCTTTCCTTGTATGGCTTGCTCTTCAGTCCTCTGATCATGTGGGTGGCTTTTCTCTGGACTCTCTCAAGCTTCTCCACATCCTTCTAGAAGTGCAGCGCCCAGAACTGGACGCAGTACTCCAGCTGCAGCCTCACCAATGCTGACTAGCACGGGAGAATAACTTCCTTAGTTTTGCTTGAGATGCATTGGCTGATGCATGCCAATGTACTGTTTGCTCTGCTAAATGTAGCATCACACTAGTGGCTCATATTCATTTTATGTTCAATTATGACCCCCAGGTCCCTTTCGGACATGGTGCTAGCTAGCGTAGCACCACACTAGCCTGTGAGTTTGTTGCAGATTTTACCTCCCCAGATGGAGCACTTTATACTTCTCTGTGTTGAACAGCGTCTGGTTCTGGTCCGCCCATCTAACTAATCTGTCTAGGTCCGCCTAGATCGTCAGCCTACCCTGAGGCTGATGATCCAGTGGGAAGGGATGAACAAAAGGAATGAGCAAGTGAATAGGACCATGGGGAAGGAAACCATGCTTACATTTCCCTTGGCCTCTTGCTCCTGAGAGACGTGTTCAGGGCAGGAGCTGGAGTGACAGAACCAGGAAGGGAAATTCCCATAGGACAGGGCAGGGTATGCTGTGGCAGCAGCACTGCAGACCTCCCTGCAGCCTCCCCTCGGACTAGGGGGATCCCTATACCCCCATGAACTGGATGGTGCAGAGACTGCACTCACTTTGGTCTCCTGGGGAGGGAAAGCAGCAATGCCAGGTGGGGGGTTTGGACCCCCAGCTGCCAGTCCACCAAACAGCTCTGGAGGCATGAGAGCATCACCATGATTTGCCAAGTTGCTACCCTGCAGAGCAAGAGCTGCAATGACCAGGACCCTTGAGGACTTTCTCAGTCATGCATATGTGCTCATACATGCACACACACATGCTTTGCAGCCAAGACACTGGATTTTCCTATTTTGCCCCTGCCAACAGGCAGTCCAGGCATTGGCTGCTCACCCCCCCATCAGTTCCCCTTCTCAACTGCAACTCCTTTCCTTCTGCTGCTCCTCAGCCCACATGCTTCAGGCTTCAAACTCGGAGGACAAGTCTCTGCAGGAGTTGGGCCTGGCTTCCCTAGAAGACGCTCTGCTGCGGGACAAGTCTCTGGTTGAGAAGCATCCCAGCACCTACCCCAGCAGGACAAAGAAATGCATCAGTCCTCAGCATGTGGCGTCCCACGAACCCTCCAAGCACATTGTGGTGTTACCTCAGCCTGACTTTGATGACACAGAACCAGCAAATCCATGCAATGCTTGTCACAAATCCAGAATTTATTGGCACATGTATTTCATATGCATGGGATACAGCAGCGTCATTCAGCTAAGGAGTCATGACAGGCCTAGGATGTTGGTGTGACAGACTGGACCGTCCAGCGCCGTCCAGCTGTCAGTACTATTCAAGAGGCAAGGCAAATAGGCAGAGGCAGTCCCTAGTATTCACCCCTTCACAACCGCTGCAAGGCTCAAATTGACATATGGATTCTCTGTACCCAGTCAGCCCACCCTGAGCAGTTCTCCATACCAGCACTGTGCTTGAGTGTGCAGGCAAAGCTAGCAAGGGCACAGCACTCAGCCAGGGGGAGGTGGCTGGTTCCTTCATTTTAAAACCCTTTTGCTTGAGGGTACAAAAAGCTCTTCCCTCCCCGCCCCCCCCCAGAAAACCCCTCAGAAACCAGCCTAGTGTAAGTCATGGCCACCTGGACTTCTCTACAGGGTTTTCAGGTGCACGCACAGTGCCACACTAATGCAGCCGTGCTGCTTCCAGCTTGGGAGCCAAGGTGCGCCCAAGGAACAGATACAGCCTGTCTCCGCACGGCATCGGTTTGTCTGAGCGCAGCAGAGTGTGAGCTCGCAGGACAGGGGGCAGGGCAGAATGATGGGAGCTTTTTAGCACATTTACTAGACTAGGTTTTGCACAGTCAGTTATTGCACATTTGGAAGCTGTCGCGCAAAACTGAAAGCTTGCCCTTGCTACCCATCGCTAGCAAACACCACTCAGAGGTCAGAAGTGAAGTGAAGTGTGTGTGTGTGCGTGCGTGCGTGCACGTGTGTGTGTGTTGCTGCCATCTGCTGGAAAGCAACAACTGATCCTCGGTAGCACTCATGGGCTTGCTGGTTACTGGTGGAGACAGGCCTTTAGCTTAAGTGCTCTTATATAGCTAGGGAAGGAGAATCAGAGTCCTGTGTCTGCCTTTGCAATGCACAATGGCCACAAGATGGCCCTGACATTTCTAGGAGCCTGTGGATTTGTTTCAACACAGCAGCCAGTGATTCAGGTCTCTGCAATGCTCTCTGACTGCTCAGTTTTCCTTTTTGTCACTGATTTCCATTCAGAGGAATGGACAATAAACTAGAGAGAAGAGCCTCTGTGCAGCCCCTGTCCCAGCAGGTCTTTGACACCATTTCAAAGAGTCCTTCCTTGAGGACATAATCTGGCTTGACCCATTAGCCAGTGCCGAGGGCAGGTAGGAAAGTTGCTGTGCATGGAGCAGAGAGAGGATTCAATGCCAAAGAGGTGGAATGGGATGACTCTGTAGGTGTGAAGAGGAAGGAGGGTTTAATCCCCATGAAAACATCAATGCAGAAAGATTGGGTCAGTTCTAGACACAAGGCAGGTGGATACCCTGCACAAGGATGCTGGGACCAGAGAGAAGTGGGAGCTGAATGCAGGTAACAAGGAAGGAGGGGAAAAGTAAGCAGTGCGTGCAGCAAGAGGGGCCCTGACGCATGGACAGAGGATGATGCCATGTATGAAGCTGCCATGGGGAAGAGTGTCTTTTTCTTCCAGAGGCCAGAGGGACATTAGTCAAGTCATACTCCTGGTACATGCTCCTGGACAGGTGTGACATTTGAAGTGCTCCAAAGCACTCCAAAAACCAAGGGTGAAGATGTGCGTGCTTGCAGAAGCATTTCAAAAATGGCCAAAGTGCATCCTGAAATGTCTGTGTGGCTCAGTGGTCCTCCAGCATCCCACAGTGCACCACTCCCAACATGCCAGCACTGGGAGAGAGGGAGGAGCAAGGTGGACAGCCAGTGAGCACTCTCCTGTCCGCAGGGACCGCTGGAGCCCAGAGGTGTGTGCAGGGATGCCTGCTCTCTGGCCTCTGGCTGGAGAGCTGCACTGTTTCATGTGTTCATGGCCATTTTAAAGTGCGTCAAGGGTGAGGGGCGCGTGCCTACACAGCACTGAATTTGAAGCACTCTGAAATGCTGAGTGCTTGAAGCATATGCCTGTCTATGGCCGGTGACACTAGACTGCACTGATTTCTTCGCATCTGGTTGCCCCACCAGCACCCCAGTGACAGAGGGTTTAACCCCTGCCTGGCCCTTGCAGAAAGCAAAGCGAAGCACTATGACAAGTGTTTCATGAAGCTAAAAGCAGGAGGTAGAACCACCAGTGATTCAAGAAAAGTAATACACCGTGCTTCCCCTGTTTTCATGAAGCCGGTACCACCTCAACCAGGCACTTGAGCAGAGGATCAATGGCAACTGGAATCTGTCTCCAGCACCACTCCTCCTGAGACACTCATGGGGGTCTCCCCCCAACTGATGACGTCTCCTCTCAGCTCGTTGCGTTTGCATAGAGCAAGCGCTCGAATGTCGGCGTGACTAAGAACCTTGTTCCAGAGGTTCACATGACTCATCCGGCCTATGAACCTGTTGGAGAAGATCCCAAGAAGATTGTCTCTGTCCTTCCCGAGGACAAGAGTCCCTCCGGCCTGGATCACGTACCCCTTCTGGATACTCTTCTCCCTCCCTACTGCTCCATTAATCCACAGATCTGCTGTCCCAGAGTGGGATGTCCAGGATACACAGTAGTGGAGCCACTCCTCAGACCTATGGTGCAGGAAGAAGTTAATAAAATGGCCCCCAACCCACAGCCCCACGTCTGACCCCACGGTCACCACCAGCTCATTGTCACTCTCTGGGGTGGAATAGGAGAGAACAGTCTGACTCCCACGGTTCTGGGTTTGGATCCAGAAGCACAAGGTGAAGGAGTGGAGCGTCATGACATGGCGGGGCCGGACATTCACGTAGCTCTCGATGTTGTCAGCGGGGAAGAAGAACGCTGGGAAAGCACTAGATTGAGCACCTGAAATAACCGAGCAAGGGGCAGTTATTACATATCCTTAAAGGCTCCCTGTGCTACGAGGTATTTTAGGGGACAAGACTAGGGTCTGACCTACAAGCTGTCAGGAGGGACAGTCTTGTGAAAACGTAAGCCAGTGACTCAGGAGTTGTATTCCTGACTGTCTTGCTGACTTGCTTTGAGCAGGTCAGTGAGCTCCCTCTGCGGTTGATGACAATTTATGCTATAGGGATGCCATAAGTTTTAATTCTTTAATATTTGCAAAAACATAATGTGCTGAACTTTGGAGACAGAAGAGCAGAGCGTTGTTGCTGTCTCTCAAAACTTCATCTGGACCAGACGAAGAACTGGGTTCTACTCTCAGATGTCCGTATAGTGTCCGCTGACATTTAAGGCATCCAAGACAAAGCAATTCTTAGGTCCTCAGTTCAGGGACATAGGGAGTGATTTCTTGTGCAAATGAAGCTCTCAGAAATAATAAGCAGGTGCTCATTTCTTACCCCTCAGGTGCACTCCCCCTAACAGATGCTTCTTCACGTCCTGGAGCTGAGCCTGTATTTGCTCCAGTTTCAAGCTGAGTTCTTCTAGGTGACAGATTTCTAGAGCAATGAAACAACAGCATTTGCAACCAGATCCACAGGTAACAGGTGGACGTTTGTACATGCCACAGGGACACTTCTTGGCCTTCCTAATGCTGGAAACACTGGGGAGTCTCTCTGTTGCGCAGGACCTGTCTCCTATACAGGGCATGTTGGGGAATCTCATTGAGGGAACAGAGCAGTTGCTGACCACATGGTCTTTGTCAAATTTTGAGGGAACTATAGTGCAATAGCAACCATGCAATGGGAAGCCAATTTCTGCTCCCACCGATGTTGATGAGAGCCTTGCCGCCAGTCTTCCTGGGATCACAATTTGTCCTCTTGCCTACCCTGAGCCCATGCTCCATTGCCCATTGTTTCTCCTTTTGCATGTCTGCATCTTTCTGTTCATTTCTTTCCTGGCCTCAGCCTCACCTGGAGACACCCATCCCCACCCCGGTATTACCTTGCTCCACTTTAGCTTTGAAGGAGGATTCCACCACTCTGTCGTTGAGGGGCTGCGCGTGCCGATAGTCGTTTCGCAGGGTTTTATTTTGCCAGTCCAGCAAGGTGTTCTCCAGCAGCTTAATCTTTAAGCAAGACACAGCACAGGAAACAGAGGGGAAATGGATAGATGACTTTTAAAAAGCAAACTACCCTCATCAGACAAGTGGCTCATGAGCTGCAGATCAGACCCAACGCTTTATTGGCAGAATTGAATGGGAACTCAAGCCAGAATTGAGACATTGCATGTCAGGATGGAGTTGCATTAGCAAGGCAAAGAAACAAAAGAGTAGAACAGCAGGGAAGCCAGGAGCTAAATCTGCCACTGGCTATAGCAGCTGGAGGAGGAAATTGTTGTGAGCACCTGCCCATCGCTATCCATGGAGGGGAATTTTGCAATTCCTCCTATTGTGTTGCTTGACCACAGCTGTCTCTGTCTCTCAGCTTCCCCCCATTAGAATGAACAGCTCCGTTTCAGATGCAAATCCACCTTGCTCACCACCAACAGAGCCCTTCACTCATTTTTTCCTGCTTTAAAGAGGCTGCAGGCAACATTACTCATCTAAGAAAAATGATGACCCATCAATCAAAACCCCCTTATTCTCTCTCTCTTTCTTTCTTTTTTTTTTTTGGTTTTCCTTATTTTGAGTCTCTGTCCTTCACTAAATCCTTCTTTTTGGACCTTGGTGAGGTACAATGACAGGCAGAGGCTTGTCCTTTCTAAGAGGTTCTGATTGCTGTTTGAAAGGACAACGCATCCATGGTCACCCATGGACTTTCTTGTGTTCGGGATGAGGGACCTGGAACAACTCCAGTCATGTCTAAGGCCTGGGCTAGAGTGTAGATCAGTGGTTTTCAACCTTTTTTCATTTGCAGACCTCTTAAACATTTTAAATGGAGGTGCAGACCCCATCAGAATTTTTGGATGGAGGTACAGACCCCTTTTGATTTGTAAGTGCAGGTATTCACATAGTTTTGATTGATCATAGTCATCTTTTGTGGACCCCTTAGATATAGTCTGCAGACCGCCAGGGGTCCGTGGACCACAGGCTGAAAACCACTGGTTGAGACCCACCACACAGCCAAAGCCGGCAACTGGCCATTAGCTGAAATTAGCTCATCTATTTACACAGTGCACGTGCAAACAAGAGAAAATGGATTTTCCCAAAATACCAGTCATTATTCTGTAATTACCATAATCTGGCCAGAGGCTTCATGACACTTCTTTTCTTGTGGTAAAGACTGTCTCAGCAGCTTGGCCTGCTTTAGTCTGGGCTTTTCTGCCACTTTATTTTTGTAGGGCTCCTTCACCATTGCCTTTAACTGAACAGGGGCCTTATCAACAATGGCAGCTAAACTCTGGAGCTGCAGAGATCTGAACTGAAACCCCTCTTGCTGCCATGCATCTGCAGCCGCTACTGTGCAGTTGGGCAGGGAAAGGGAGAGAACAGGCTCTGCATTCCTTATATCAGACTTACATTTGGTCTACAAAATTCAAACTATAGAGGACGTTGCCATTACCCTAATGTCAGGGCTGACTTGTGCTATGTGCACATAGGGCTGGCAAAGCTCACAGCAGCAGAGGGAATGACAACAGACAGTCTCTGATTCCAGCAGGGACAGTCAGGCCATGCTATTAATGGTGTTGCCGCTGAGGTTTGTTTCATTCCCACCTATAAATAATAAATCACTGGAGCTGCTCTGCCTGCTGTAGTCAAAATGAGTGTTAAGAACATTCAGCCCAACGCTAGTAACGTGGTGCAGGGCTCAGTGCCCCCACCTAGCACTGCTCTCAGATGCTTTGGTGCTTTTTCTAACTATTTTACAGATAAAGAAACTGAGGCTCCAGGAAGTAAAGGCCTTGCAGGGAGTCTGTGGCAGAGCTGGGACTAGATCCTGGAAGGCTGTAAGTGATTCTCTCAATGCTCCATGAAGCAGGTAAGCAGTTTTACCATTGTACAGACTGAGCAACTTAGGTGCACTGGGTGGATTTCAGTGCTGGTCAAGACACCCAAAGCCGAACTTGGCTCAGAGGGAAATGTCTGCTGCTCTCCCAAGAATCCAGGAGAGTGGGAAGGAAGGAAGAATGCTGTATCCACTTATATGCAGCTACAGCTAATGGGCCTGGAGTTCAGCCCACAATATGGGATTAGTGGTGTTCTAGCTATGGTGCCAGTGCTATGGTAGCCAGGCCCCATGGCAGAGACAGCCCCACTAACACAGAAGGATACTGTGATCTTGGGCACATTATTTACCCTCAGTGCCTCAATTTCCCACCTGTAAAATAAGGATGGCACTACTGCTCTGCCTTGCACAGTTTGGGGCGGTGAGCCTTAACTCACTGCTGCCTCTGCAGAGCTTTGACTTCCTTGGCTGGAAGGTCGTACAGGAGCGAGCATCATTTTATGGCATCACCGCTCCGTTGAGATTCTCTGCGATGTCACTCAGTGACCAAACACCCGACAGGCAGACGCCTCCCCGTGACCCTGCTGCATTGAGGACAGTTGGGAAATCACCAGAAAATGGAGAGGGGAGGTTGGGGGCAAACGTGAAGGAGGAGAAGTGGTTGTTCAGCCACCAACAAGTGAGCTTTACCTGTGTGGGTGACAGGATGATGGGAGAATCAAAGACGGTCCAGATGACACTCTCGGAGCATGGTGGTGTAGTCAGTGAGCCTGGGTACCTGTAGAAGTGTGAGAGGTTTTCTGGCAGCATGCCCTGGACATCCAGTGATGTGAGCCTCATCGATTGCCCTGGACGGGGGATGTGGAAACAAGGTGCAGATGGTGAGTGCCAGAGGAAAAGCACAGCGGGGCCAGAGTGCTTCCCCACGAGGTAAGCCTTGGGAAGCTGCTTCCCCAACTACCAGGAGATACTGCCAAGGGCGATGGACAGGGACTGTCCCCTGTTGTCATTTCTGTAAATCACCTGGAACAGCGAGGCTAAGATCTCTGTAGAGATCTCCACACAGCACATCGCAAAGCCCTGCACACAACCAAGGTAGCTCAGGTGCCGGCAGGACAGACAGGCACGTGGTCCTACACGTGAGAGAGTGCACACAGGTGGGGGAGTGCCACATTCATGCAGCTAGACTGCCCCGGCACCTGAGCTAGCTCTTACTTTACAGGGCGCTGCCTTGAGCCATGGTCCTTGTGTGCTGCCGTACCGTAAACCATTCTCAGTAACAGCACTTGACAAGGATGGGCTGCAGGATTAACACGCCTTCCCAACTCTGGACGCCTCAGTGATGACAAAGCACCATGGAAAGGCCAAGTACAATCAAGAAGAGAATTTTTTTTCTATGGTTCGGGCCATCCCAGCTCCCCCAGCAGTTTCCCCCATAAATAGCCCAGGATGGATTTTATGTGCACTGAGTGACACTTGCATTTGCTGGAAAGACACTGCGTGTCTGCCTGGGGGATCCGCAGCAGAGCCGGCTGCCCAGCTGGAGAGTCCAGCTTGGTGTGCTCAGGGTTGCTTAGCACTTGCAGTAGCCAGGTTTTTCTGAGATGCTTCAGGCAGAGTTTTGGTAGCCTTTAAATGCCCAAATGGCTTCTACCCTGCTGCACAACTAATGTTTCTAGCATTTACAGATTACAGTCCTGCTCCACATGTGGAGGCATGAAGCAGTCCCCATGACTACTGAGCACGCGGAGCAGGCTGCGTGCTGCCAAGGCAGGTATGTGGCCCCATACTCGCATGCTCTGGGCAAGCATGTGTCATGAAATTATGCCCAGCAAAACCCCTGACTAGCGGGTGGAAGATGATGGATGGCCAAAGCCCTCCCAAGTTTAGCTCCGGTAGTGAGTGCCCCCAAGGCCTCCCTCGCTTCATCTCAGCACCCAGACTGAGCCACCTCCCCAGCTGGCCTCAGGAAACTTGCCCTCTCTGCAGCTGAAAGAGAGATGTGGGCCCAGGCAGCCAAGAGCAAGCTGCAGGTGCATGGTCTTCAGTGTGGCGATTGCTCCTCTAGAAGGGAGAAATCCTTGGGGTCTAACCCGGCCCCTGGTTTCCAGTGGGGTAAAAGCTTCCCCATGGCTCTCCGCCCATTGACTCCAGGGCAAGGTGCTGTGGCACAGCTTCAAGAGGAAGGCTGGGGGAGCAGATGTGTAATGCTTAATCTAGGGGCTGATGCCTACAGCACTCTGCTGAGAAATCAGAAAGCCACAAAGTCAAACCCCTAGGTGCAGAGGGCCTAGACCCTGGGTGTCCTACTTCTCTAACCATTCAGTTAGTGGGTAAAACATGGGGGAAGAGGTCCTGGCTTTTTCTGGGCCACAATTTATCGTAGAACTAATGTTCAGGCACATGCAGACAGAGCCTGCCCAACCAGAGCACAGCCTACTGCACATGCTCAGGAGCCATTTGCACACTTGTGTGTCCTGACTGCATGTGTAAGAGGATTGCAGACTCTGCCTAAGTGCAGAAGCTGGCCATTATGTGGCTGGGTGAGTGCCATTTGGGCATGTGAAATGAAATGGGGTTCTGCCTTATATTTTCTCCGATCCAAGAACTGAGGATGGAGGGGGAATCTCCTTGTTTTACTGCCTGCAGCGACTCTTGTGACAAGAGCAGGGGCATCCTGCATAAGGATCCTTGTTTCTGGGGTCCACAGGAAGGAGTGATGCCTCCGAGGTGCAGGGATGTAGCATGGCTGAGGATGCCTAGTTATGGAGCACTGCTTTGGTGTTAATATAACTGCAGCAAGCTGCCCAGCAGCCCTCACTCTTCTCAGCAACCGCCACAGCATACAGAGTAGTCGGTGAGCCGACAAATGGGGCTGCCTGAGGCTTATAAAGTGCAAATGAACTGGAACAGCCTTAGCAGCTGGGGCTTGCTGGCTGAGTCAGGGCCCCGGCGCTGTCATGCAAGAAGAGGACATGCAAGAGCAGGCTATATTTGGATGTTTCAGGGACTGCCTAAGCTAGTGCCAGCTGCTGGAAAGCTGGGGCCTGCTGCTTCGGAGGTTGTCTCCTCTTGAAATGGTCACTGTGCCCATTCTTCCAAAAAACATGCTCTGGCAGAGCTAGGAACTAACTGAAAAAAATCGAAGGGTATTTTCCTGTGGATCAGACCGGGTGATTTACAGTGGTTCTTTCTTCGCCTTATATTTCTGAGACCCTACATCTAGGCAAAGTACCCCAGCATCTCAGGCCATTTACCAGTCAAGCCTGGTCAGGTCTGACCCTAATCAGTCCTCTCTTCTCTCCTTCATCAGTGCTTGTCCCATCCAGCGTTCATGGGCACTGGCATCCCAGACCCCAGGAATGGAGGAAGAAGGAGGGTGCAGGGACTTACCTGCATATCTGATTTTGGCCAGGTTGGAAATGAATTTGCTGTAGTAGGTGTTCTCAAAATGTCCGTCCTAGAAGGAGAGGAGGGGCGGGTGAATGATGTGCATTCAGGTCTTACCCCTGCACTTAGACAGTTCAGTTTGGGAGATTCATTGCTGCTGGAACCCGTTTGACCATGAGGAAGGGAAAACAGAGGCATAAAGATGCCGTAGCTGATAGTTTTAAACTTGGGAACCTGAAGTTGGACATGCACGTAGCTAGCTGTATGTACGTGCCTAAGTGAGTGATGTGGTTGTCAGCAGTACAGAGCATCTACAGTCCCTGTTGGCTACTCTAAAGATTTTGTGGGTACTCAGCACCTCTGAAAAATCAAGCCCATTATTTCAGTGTTTCAGGGGTGAGTTAGAAGCCCACCACTGGGAAAGCCTGATCTGAAGTCGCACGTTTTCTCTTGACCTAAATAAATCACCTAAAATCAGCAGATGGACTGAAAGGAAAAACCCAGGAGGAACCCCACTCCCGTCCCAGAAGGGGGAGTAGAAGGAAGGATCATCCCCACCACTGTTCTCTAATCTGTCATGAAAGGGGAAAGCTCTTGAGGACACGAGCTGCCTCCTTATGATGCGTGTGAACAGCATCCAGCACCAAGGAGCTCTGTTCTCAGTTGGGCCTTGCGAGAGCTACTGCAATACGAACAATACAGCCCCATGCCTGTTCCCTCCCTGTGACCTACCACGTATAGGAAAGCAAGCACGGCCAGCCCATTCGGCTTGTCTTTTGCTTCTTCAAAACTTGAGTAGTTGCCAGAGTTGTAATGGACAATGTGCAGCTGCGGGGACAAAATGGGGTCAGTCAGAGAACTGGGACTGATGCCTTCACCACCACCAGCTCTTGAAGGAACAGTCCCAGGCTGAAGAGCTCATCCGTGCCCCAGGCTCTCCAATGTGCCTGCAGTTGTGTGAGCATGAAACCAGGGTTGACTTTGGTTTGCAGCCTGCTTGTGTGATGGGGCTTGCACAGCTCTGGCTGGAGAGGTGGTATAGTCCACAGGGGCCATACATGGGTTTTTGGCTTGGCCTGTTGTGTGACTTTGGCTTATTCACTTCATCTCTTCCGTCTCTTCTCTATTTAACCTATAAGCCCTTTCAGTCATGACTTGTATCTTTGTGTTTGTACAGATTATGATGAAGTGAGTTCAGGCTCACAGAAGCTTATGCATCTTGGATTTAGTTAGTCTATAAGGTGCATCTCTACTCTGCCTTCTGCCTGACTTTAGACTAACATGGCTAAAGTAACTACCTCTCTCTGCACAGTACAATACTTGCTTGGCACAATAGTCTCTAGGTTCTACTCAAATGCAGATCTGAGCAGCTGGGCCCATATTCTTTTGCCTGTTCCTCCCTTTCCTCTCCTTCACCAAAGCTGCTAGCTCAAGGTACAGTCCAACTGTTAATGCCAAAAGACCCTTCTATGTATATTGCCTGCTCAGCTAAAACTCGTGAACAGCTGCCAGCAAGACTATGCATAGCAGCAAGCCTGAATTTGGTCTGAGTCCAGGAAAGAGAAGCCCAAAGGTAACCATGATTCCCTCTTTGCTGTTAAAAGAGAAAAGGGGGAGGAGAAGCGGGGAACAGATCTGACACCCCTGGGTACAATGATGTATGTTGGCAGGTGGAGGAAACAAACACTTTGGGATTGAACTGAAGCCCGCGGGACTCAATAGGAGCCTTTCCTTTAGTTTAAATATTAGGGAGGGAGAACGAGCTCCTGTCAATCAACCCTTGCTAACTGTGTAGCTGCAAGTATCAGGGAGACAAGAGCATTTCGTGTCCCTTTGGCTTTCTAGGGGCAGGTTCCCTGCTGCATGTGACCTGATATGACAGTCTGGCCATTCCCTTCTGTCAATTGAACTGTAGCTAAGTGGACCCCCAGGACAAACTGCTTAGGTGGAGATGCATTTCTTCCACATCCCAGAGCACGCACGAGCTTTAGGCTGACAAGCATGGGCAAGGAGCAGCCAGGCAGAAGATGGTAAGTCTATTCGTCAAGGAACCTTTGATGAATCAGGGATGTTTTATCATCCGGGATAGGGTTTTGATTGCTAAGCACAGCCTGAAAGAGCTCTGAGCAGTGAAATACTAGAGCTTTTCACTCCTCTGTCTCTTGTCTTTCTTGCAAGAACCCCCAGCTCAGTCCTTACCCAATTAGTCTGTCGCAGACAATGGCTTGGACTCAAACATCAGGCCAGACTCAAAGCTGTGCATTGCAACAATAATGCCAACTCTCATGAAAAAATCCCAGGACTCCTGATTTCCAGGTCAAATTAACTCTGACTTGTGATCTCCTGATAAGAAAAAATCCTGAGATTTGATCTCTTTCTGGTGCATGTAGAGAGTGGAGAGCTGGTAAGTCTGTGGGAGGGAAGGGGCAGTATCAAGGCCCCCCATGGTGAGAGAGGGAGTGGGGCAGGGGCTAGGGTGAACAGGGCTCCGGGGCCAGGGCGAATCCGGATTTTTTTTATCCAAGTGGAAAAGGCAACCCCGCAGCCAGTCCACTTGTGGGGGGCAGCGTGTCTGCATCTAAACAGGTACCTCTGCAAAGTATCTCATGCCATCTATGGTGTGTTCAGAACCACTGGTCTCCAGGTCCAGCCCGCCCCAGTGAAGGTGCATCTGGACAGCAGTGAAGCGGCTTGGGAGTCCTTTGGTGATGCGCATGGTGGGCGGCAAATCAATCTGGACTGAAAGGCAGAATCAGGGAACAGCATGAAATCACTGGAAACGGATGCAGCTGGGCCGGGGTGGTAGCTATGTACTACATGGTGTTGCCCCTTCTGCTGAGAGCATCTCAACTGAAGTCAGTGGGCTTGCTCAAGGCAAGGTCTTCAGCCTTCAGTAAAGCACATAGATGTGTGATCAGTGCCGGTGAAGTCATAGGACTTCCTGCAACCTGTTAGGTATGGGTTTAAGCTCTTCCCTTCCCACAAATCATACAAGTGTTGCTAAGAGCAATTATGTGAGCAGCTTCTATTTCTGTTAAGCAATTATGTGAAGGAGACTAGCAAGATCAATTGTGAGTGTGCAAAGCACAGTAGGAAATTCCTCCAGTCACCATTAGCAACTAAGATGTGCCTAAGGGCCTAGGGTAGAGGAAGTGACCTCTCCTGTATCTGTGATGAAAGGCGTTGTTGGTATATCAGCCTGGCATGCCTAAGGGATAGCAAGTACTTGATCTTTCCACAACAAACTGCATAAAGTAGCATTAGGGTAGCAGAGGGAACCTGAGAGCAGAGAGGTTTCTCCTGAAATTCTTTCTACCTAATTGCTGCCAGCCTATTCAGAGCTTTGGCTGTCTGAAGTATGTCCTAAGTTTGGGCTCTGCCTCAGGGAAGCACTATCATGATGACAGTGACTCTGGATTAGAAGGAAAAGTCTCTCCTTTACAAGAAATCCTTTCCCCAGCCTCCCTCATAGCAGCAGGGCTGCAGGCCACTTGAAATCCCTGTAGGCAGGTTCTTCCCCAGGCCTTAGTGATAACGAATTAATCCTCAGCCCTTACATGCACCTTTCATCTTGTAGGGCTCCTTTGCTTAACAACAGTGTGTCCATTTTACAGATGAGAAAAGGGAGGCACAAATGAATGAAACAGCCTCGCCCCTGATCATACAGTGGGGAAAAAGGTTCATTCCACCTCTTGCAACAATGTATGAACTCAAGGGACCCCATCCCACAGGGCATGATAAGCAGAAATAAATCAATTATTCTGAGAGACTACAAAGAAAAAGTTTGCGGAGACCACTTTGGATGGTTGAAAGAGGATCGTTGGAGTGCCCGATACAGGAAGCACACTGGTAATTATTACACCATGCATTACCTTTGCAAACACAGTATCTACTGAAAGACACAAATCCTAAATATTTGCTTCCCTGCTGAGGTACCCTGCAAGCCAGAGGGTCACATTGGCAATGTGTGTTCTTTGTTCTGTTTAGGTTGAGCAGAGATCCCCACCTTGTTCTCCCTAACAGTAAATCCCAGCGAGTTACAAAAAGCTTTTCATTCCTTAGAAATAAACACAAGCCCCGATTCATAATGTTATGTTTTGGATGCAGAAGGAGAAAGGGTCCTTTGTTCAGGCAGACAAGCTAAAAACATGGCTCTTTCTAACATGCCCAAAGCATCAATATTGTGTTGCAAACAGCTCCATTGCTTATTGTGTAGACGCATGCTAACTCTTGTTTCATAATTAGGGGTATTTACTTTACCAGGGAACTCATTATAGGTTGTTCACTCTGCAAAGCAGGGGGAGAGAGCAGCTGGGAACATGTGCTAGGGATAAAATCCTGTCTGCCGTGTAGTTGAGAATACACTGCTAAGACAGCGTGAAAATACCTGAGGGCTGATTCTCCTGCAGCCGTGACCCAGTATAGTCTTTTACCTCTGAACTGGTAGAGCCTCACATCTCCTTTGCTCTCATTTGACACAGAGAGCAATCAAGTCGAGTGGACCATCTATACCCGACTGCAGGAGCTCCAGCATCTGGGCAGAGGTCTTGCAGTTTTCATACTGCCACACATCACTGTAAAGCCTGAGCTCAGACTAGGCATGCTGTAACTTGGGATACTGCCCACTACGGGATGAAAACTTGGGGCTTTGCGTGCCTCTACAATTGGTCTCCACAGGGGACAAATATCTTAACACTACTGCTAGCTAATGCCGATTCATCTCGAGCATGAATTAGCCTTTGCAAAATAAGTCACTCTTTAGACTGCATAAGAATGAGATGATAGGATTTAGGTAAAATGCTTGTCATTGTGTGTGGAAAGGTAGTGTGTGTCCTGGAAGAAGGTGGAAGAGGCATGTCAGCTGGGTGCTGAAAATTTCCCAGCATCAGGTCCCATCCCTCAGAGTGCTGACTGCCCTTTATTCCCCTGGATCAGCACGGGGAGGGATCATTCCCTTAAGAAGGCAAGAGCCAAATGCCAAAATGCTTACTGCAGGGATTCCTAGGCAAGGGAATGCTAGGATACTGATGCCCTGCATTGAGGCCAATCCCTGATGCATGCACGCTGCAGTAGTGCAAATGGAGTTTGCTGTAGTGAAATGTGTCCCGGGAATTATACAAGTGAAAAAAACCAATAAAGTCACAGATAGTACTTTGTACCATTCAGGTCTACTAAGGTCCTATGTGTCCAAGGAGAACCTTTCTTCCCCCCCTGCATTTCGCTCTGCTGCGTCTCTCTTGATGTTGCCTAAGGAAAGATTTTCCAGGAGAAAGATAAGACAAGCCACTCCCATGGAGTGCTGAAGGGTGGCTCTAGAATTTGGCCTGCGTCCCTGATTTAAAATGCCCTGGGTGGTGAAGTGAATATCTGCATGTTGACAAGAGTGTAAGAAAATACAACTATGCAATCAGAGCCTGGAGAAAGAAACTGGGAAGAATTAATTTGCAAGTAGAGAAGCTGATAATGCCAGCTCCAGAAGCTTCAACAGGAATAGTTGGGTGATGAACAGGAGCCCTGGTTCATTAATGATTCTTAGAAATACAGTCACAGCTGCCTTTCTTTAGAGACAGCATGTCTCGCTGCTCTCTGCTCCCCACTTCATGTCTCCAGTCTTCCTTTGAGCAAAGAGGAATGAAAGAAGATAAGATAAGAGTGCTCCAACCATCTTTTATTAATAGACAGATTTTTTTCCCCCTCAATGCCAGGACATTCCTTACTAGCCACTCACTTGTAACCCAAGCCCATCCTCTCAAAGGCCCCTAAGTGATGCATCAGACAGCATTTTACAGTAGGCCAAGTGCCGGGCTGGGCAAGAAGCCAGGAGTCCCTGAATTCCAGCCATAGCCCTGAGCCGGGGGGTGATCACAGGCAAGCCACTAAATCCACTGGGGGCTTCAGTATCTACCCTGTAGAAGTGGGGACAGCAATATTTACCCACTACCAGTGGGGTTATGTGATCTGTTCATGTTTGTAAAAGGGCTTTCAGGACTGCCTTGTCCCTTATGTTGTTGTTTGCACCTGAATCCAAATTACCCCTGGATTAGAATTTTCTGCTTAAAGCACAGATGGCTTTGACTCGCTTACCGTGGGTGCAAAATGAAGACATAAAGCTCAACACAGTCAGAACAAGGCCCACTAAGTACTAGATAGTACTAGAGGTCTAGCAACATTCCTAGGGGCTGCTGGTCTTTAGGGCTAGGGACAGAAGTTGCACATAACCCAGCTTAAGTGATCAGAAACTGGTTTAAACCTGTAACAAAATAAAAGTTCAGGGCATGTAAACCAGATTCAAAATGGCTGAAGCGGGTTTAAGATAAACCTGGTTGAATGTAGTATCAGACTTAAGTGATTTAGGTCAAACCAGTTTGTGAAACTTCTGTCCAAGACCCCTTCCTGGTTCAAGTTAAATCTGAGTCCCTCAGCATCCCAGCATGCTCTGCAGCCCTGGGCTGGGTTGTGCTGTCTGCTCCAGAGTGTAGGGCTGGCCCCAGCCCCCTACTTCCTAGCTGGAGCATGCAGGGGCTGGCTCACTGCACCCCCGCCCTCCCAGGCAAACCCCAGCTGGGGTCTGCGGTCAGGGAGGGGGGTTAAACTCATCTTCCCCCCTCCCCACAAGTACAGAGCTGTTCTGCTGGCTTACTTTGTGCTGGCTGTGACTGTGAACTACAAATCCCAGAGGCACCTGGAAGCAGGAAGAGGAAGTGATGAACAATCCTGTGGAGTCCTGCTGATGTGATTGTGGACTGCAAATCCCAGAGACCTCAGGGGCAGCCAGAAGAGAAAGCAAATAAACAGCCCATGCACGGTTTATTTGCCAGCTACATGCCAGAGAGCCGTGCTCTAGCAGCCCCTGGTTTCCAGCCTAAGTCACTACAGGCATGTGGTTGCATTTCCTGAATCAAAAGTGAATGTGTGTTCATTTGCTTATTGTTTCAATCTTTGCAGCTTAGATTAACCCGCAAAGACTGAATCAATTCAGCCTCAGACATTTTGACTGTCTGTACTTAGCCTAGGAATGATGCTGTACATGCCCTTTTGAGGAATGAAAAGCTGCATCTTCTTTCTGTTGCTTATACATATGCTGCTGACAGGGTCTCCCACCGGTAGAGAAAAATCAGCAAAATTTGGAGAATAGAATGAAATGAGGTTACAAAGTGGAAAGCTCAAATAGCTGAAGTGAGGAGAGGGAGGCTTGAAAAAGAAAGACAACGTTGTGCATGTCAGTAAAAATAAAAACAAACCAAAACTTCCAAGTGTCAAAAGGTTACCTGCACATATACACACCGAATAATCCTCTAAAAGTGTTTGCTCTGCAAGGAGAAAGAAAACTTCCTATCTGACTGGCAGGAGGCAATGCTGCTTACAGCCAGCTACTGCACTGGGATGGGCTGGAGAGAACTTACCTGCTGCTTGGCCGTCCAGAAGAGGGATGCAGGGTGTGTTGGCCCAGTAAGGAATACCTAACTATGACAGGATGCCTAAATTAATCTGAGGTACATGTACCTCCTTATTATATTACTGCCTTGTATTGGGTACTGCATTACAGCCGTATCTTCAGTGTGGCAGAAGACATAGAGGAACTTGATTAATTCAATGTTATGTTGTCCTGTGTGTACAGAGATAGACACAGGACCCATATCTACATCTAAGCACACAAAGTAATAAAACAACTGAATTCATACAGTTCTTTGATCTCTTCTGCTTGTGCTGAAGTTGCTATACTACCTCCTACGCTGTATAGTTCAAAGCCCCAGTGGATGTAGCCCAAGCCCTAATTGTTGTTTCAAAGGTAGGACAGTGCCTGGTTATACAATCACTACCAGCAAAGTTACCCAAGGCAGGGTTTGCTGTCCCTTCCAACTTGCTACAAAGGGTGGGTCTGATCCTGCGGGATAATGAGTCCCCAGTCACATCAATGTAATATGACAGTCAACAGATCTGGAGAAAGTGGATGGGGGGGTTCAAGAGGAGCCTAGTTTAGGTGACCTTGGGGTCTCAGGAAGGCAAAGCGGTGACCATAGGACCACTGGACAAACATTGTCCTAGGGCATGCTCAATAAAGAGCATCTCCTTGGCCACTCTGATGCTTATTGCCTTTGAAATGATGGGGGGATGTGGGCGCTCAGCCCCGCCCAGGCATTCTTTTGTGCAGGCAGGCAGGGGCCTGTGCACTACTTAAGACCACAAAGCATAGCTTAAGTGCACATGGGTCTCTGCACAGGATGCCTTGTGTGACAGAGCCCACTGTTTCCTCCTCAAAGGGATGGACAGCCTCACTCTCGCTATTCCCAGCACAGCCTGCAGGAGTTGTGGGTGCTCAGTATCTTCCAGGATCAAACCCACAGAGCTTTACCACTGACTTCGGTGAGAGCAAACCTAGGCTATACTGATTACTGAGGCAAGTCCATAGAATAGCAAAGGTGAAAATATCCTGTTCACAGTTAATACCATGGAGCCTGGCTAGAGCTAGTGGTAAAACTGACAGTGAATATGGCAAGGAGGTGCCCCAGGTCCCATCTGCCGTTTCAAGGCATTGGCCTTCCAGCTCCTGACCTTATCAGCAATGATGCCTTCTTTCAGAGTAACTGCCAGGTCCCTGCCACTTACCCGAGTGCCCATTGTTGGTCATGGTGAAATTCCCTTGCAAGGGTCCGTCGTAACCACTGAGCTCCAGCTCCATCAACTGCGGGTTGTACCTTACCTTCCTCTTCTGAATATCAATGGGAGATTGGTGCTTGCCAGCACAGTCGGCAAAGTGTCTTCCCCAGTGCTCCTCGTCCAGCTCTCCTTCTGCAAGGTGGAGGGGAAGAAGAGCAGATGAATATCACACAGCAGGGAATACTGCTCCATCAGTGATGATGAGGAGGGTTTCTGCTCTTGCCAGCAAGGCAGCAAAGCCTCCCCATTGGCCAATTACGACACAAGGAACTGGGGCTGGTTAAAACTGTAGGGTCTTGTCTTTGTCACCATTACTCCCCCTACTTCTTTTCTTTAAGATGTTTAATAATAAATGCATAATGAATATAACTTGGCACTTACTTAGCACCTCTGTTTCAAGGACTTCTGATTTAATCAATTGACACCCATTATTAATGCAGGTAGGTATCTTTAACCCATTTTGTTCTTGTGGGTAACTGAGGCACGGGGAAGATTCTTGTGCAAATCACCCATCGAGCTAGAAAAAGATCCCAGGCGTCCTGGGTCACCAGTCACCTGGTCTAAGCTGCTGATTTGACATTCCCTCTCTTTTAACATTTTAAATGTAGATGTCAATACATTTCAGCTTTGGTTCAATCTGAGCACTTAACATTTGCTCCCATCTTTTTCCCAAAACAATTGTTATCCAAATAGTGAAGCACTGCTTTAAACTTTCAAGGCCATTTGCCTTGCCTCTGTACTCCTATATTTAGGACTTTATGGCTAAGTAGAGCTGTTGATGACATCTCTATCACTCCTCCGGCTTAGAATCAATGTGGAAATCCATCCCTCCCCTTCAACGGCTCCCTTAAAATTTACAATATATTGATCCATTTTGGTCATTTCTTGCTGAGAAACAGAATACCAGAGTCAAGGTGAAAATCCCAAGGTACTGCTGAAATATCTGACTGTGAAGGGTTATTGCAGCAGTTCAAGAGATGTTCTGTTTAATACTATTAAACATTGTTCTAAGCTCCTTCAGCATCCTCCCAATTTATAATTACTGTCACTGCCCCATTAGAAATCCATTTAGCATTTACCAGACTTTTTCCCTTTCGCTTCACCTCAGGCATGCCAGTTTGCAGGCCATTCGCCTGGTCCCTGCCATTCATTCTGGCACGGAGGCTGTGGAGCTGCAGGCTCTGCGATTCCAGAGATAACAATTGCTGGCAGCCCAGTGCCGTAGTTGCAATTAAAGAAGAAAAAAATGTGTGCATTTTACTGCCTCTTGGGTGGCAGCAGGAGTCAAGACCCACCAAAGCAGAAAGACTCGCAAAATACTAAGAATTAAGCAACATTTCACCAGGGCGAACATACAAGCAGGCAGGTCTTGCCTCTGGATTGCTGTTTCACACCCTCTGAAACTCAGAGTGAGTAAGCAGTCTCTAATGGGAAACCTATTCTTTTCTTTTCAGGACCAACAAAAGGTCAGCTATTTTTTTTAGAGCCCTGCAAAGATTTTCTCCATTGTTTGCCATCTATTGTTCTGCCTGACAATATACCCCAACAGCACAAAGGAGTCAGAGGGGCTGACACTGAAAAGAATCCCGTCCAAGATTACACTGGCATCAATAAAGGGAAATAAATTAGCTGCCGTGTTGCTTTTTTTTTTTTTTTAACAGAAAAGAAGAAAAGCCAAGCGCTCAAAAGAACAGGACTGCCTTAAGGAAGCCGGCAGAGCCAGTAGCAATTCAAAAGCAGTAGTTTCTTTTGTGGGATTGTTACCTTTGTATGTCCAGTGCGTGATGTGAGAGGAGCTGAGATGCATAAGAAGCAAGTGGAGGACGGTGCCTGTAATCCTCATGGCTCTTGCCGTCTCTGAAATCAGACCCACGTTGGGGAGCGCATGTCTTTAAAAACCCCTGAAAGCGTAAATAACAATTTACTCAGAGCCTGGCCCTTCCAGTCTCAGTCTCACCCTTCTCCTCACCCTGTCAGCAATAACAGCAGACACCACCACCACTATTACGCTTGGGCCGCCCGCTACAACTGCTAGCGGCAGGTTATTGATCCGCTGTCAGAGGCTGCCAGTTCTAATGGAGCAGAAGGTCACACAGCTCATGTCCTTCAAACCACCTTGACATGTGCTTGATTGATACTTTTTTGCTCCCTTTTGCTCTCTGATTGTTTCTTGTCGAGGGGTGAAGTGCTGCTGTGAGCTTCCACAAAAGCGTACCTGATTGTTTCCTGAAGTGAATGACTTCATTTTTCCCCAGGTGAGCTTTGGAGGCAGAAAGAGGTGAAGGGGCTCATTTTCAATTGCTCGTATCCACAGCAATATTTGAAACTGGTGGGACCCAGTAGTGGTCAGGCCCTAAGGAGCAGGTTTTTCAAATGCTCAGCACCCCAAGGAACTCCATTTTCAACATGCACCTAGTCTACTGAGCGTGTTTGACTGGCCTTACTGTAGGGCCTGAACATTTTGGAAAATCCAAGACCAATGGGCTGGATTTTTAACGCTATTTAACACTAAAGATACAGGCAGAAGCATAGAAGGATTTCTAAAGTACCTAGATGCCTCACCTCCATTGAAGTCAATAGGGATTAAGTACCCAGACTATAGCCTTAGGCACCTGAATATCTTTAGAAATCTGGCCCCAAGCAACAGGATCATGGTCAAACAGCAAGTGAGAGGCAGATCTGGAAAGTAGGTTCCCTGTCTGCTCTTCTGGTGTCCTACTACCATCCTAATATCAAGGCTTCTATGCCACTAATATCCTTTTCTACCTAATATCCCAGCTAGGGGGAAAAAAACAAACCCCTATGGTCAAGAATCAAATCTAAAAGCAAAAGTAAAATAAAACCCTAATGCAAGCAGCTCAAACAGGTAAGGAGGTGGGAGATCTCACATAAACCCACCTTCTGGGGTTTATATCAGGCTGCAGATAGATGCCATTTTTCTTTTCAGCTTATCTTTTGTAAGTGAACAGTTAATTTTACAAGAGGCCTTTCCTGCATCTGTGTCCCACACACTGTGTATTTAAAGTTTGGGAACTGCTCTGCTATTGAGTCCCTTAACCCAACATGTATTTTCCCCTTTCCTCTAAAGAAGACATTTCTTTTGACAGCTGCACTGAACTGTGTAGGGACTGAACTAATCAAACATGCCCTGCAATGTCTTTCGTAATCCGTGTGTATCCAGTTGGGTAAATAGTCCTTGAAATTAGCTGAGGGAGAAATTTCAGGGGTTTATACCTGTTTACACTCCCGAATTGCACACACCACTACACTGAGTGTGAACAGGAGACAAGATAGGCTACTTCTGCATCAGTGTCTCTTCTGTCATCTTGGCTGGCTTGAAATTACTATGTTTGGCTGGATAGTGTGTAGGGACAATCAATTTCCCTGGTCTGTGCCTCATTGATCGGCTCCCATTCCAAGCTACCGCCAATGTCAGGAGAGCCAGAGATGGGGTCAATGTGTATTCATGTCCCAGGGAGCAGTCCCCTGACATGTCAGAGCTGAGAGATGTCATTAATGGGATGGGCCTCTGTGTCTTGCAGGTTGACCTGTGTCATCATCACACTGCTGGCAGTCATATTGAAGATGCCTCCAGTTGGGCACCCAGAAGCAATGGTCTCTTCTGAAGACAAAACTCCATTCCTAGAAGTACCTTGCTTCTTGTCCTCCCTCACAACCCTCCCATGCACCAGGGATTACACTGGCTGCAGCGTCAGAGACTATGCTGTGAGGATCACACCCTCATTGTCCGGCAGAGCCTAGTTGGCGTTTTTCAATGCTAGTGTTTGTTATGGGCCAGATTCGCATCTTGCATAAACTGGCGTGGCTTTCAATGACTTGAATAGAGCTACAAGGATCTCCAGCTGAGAATCTAGCACTCCGGTTTTAGGAGCCTGATGTGCCCTCCAGGGTAAGTGCCATGAAGTTTCCAAAAGGTCCAGGAGCATTCAACAAGCACTCAGATGGTATCTGTAAACTGGCCCCCTTGCACTCACTGTCTTAGAGATGAGGCCCTGTGTCACCTGCAGCCTCGAACCCAGGGCTTTGGCCAATACAACAGCCTACCCCAACCTGCCATCCACATTACTACTTCTATGGGTTGGATGGGGTAGGGTAGACCTCCATTGATGCCCAAGACCCCATCCACTCTCTGGGAGCTAAGTGGCTGGTTCATAACACCTGACCAGCCACTTCCCCTATTTAAGAAAAAGGAGAGCAACAGAAAGCATCTGGGCAATAGGTTTCTTCTAGTTTCTAGGCTGTGTTTTTGGGGAATCTTGGTTCCTGGCTCAGCTTACTTCTGCATGTGGATTGTCTCCTGGTCCTTTGGGTGCTGACTTGATTTGTTCCTGGATTCTGCTTGCCTGCTCCACCTTTGGCTTTAATGGTATGGTTCTCCAGCCTTAATCCCTGATTAGCTACCCAGCTCTAGCACCCACATCCCAGCGCTGACGGTGAGTTGCTTTACACAGCAGTACAGAGAAACAAATGATGCCGTACTCTAGCTCCATACATCAACCATTTGCTTTGCATTGATGCCCTAATTAAGAACAGAACAAACCAATTTGCAAGGGTACATGATAAGCATATTTGAATCTCGAGCCCAAGGGGTTGAGGTGTGAAGTGAGGGCCACGGAAGGAATCTTTCTCAAAGTAAATACATCACAGGTGGGCAGGTGCAATATGTGGCCTTTCTACCCTGCTCTGCAGCAAGCCTGTTACTGGCAGGGTGCTAGATGATGTGATGGACCAGTGAACTGTCCTGCTACAGCAGTGTAGGAGCTAGTCATTTTAAAAAAGAACTATTGGTTCCCAAGACCTACTCTGAAGGTAAGACAAGGTTTCCCTGTCTGGGATGTAGCACACAGAAGCAAAGGCACTTGATGGCACACAGGCCCCCATCTGCACAGTTTGGAGCCTAAGCTTCAGGTCTGGTTTTGCAAGCCAGGCCTGTGATTCAAATGTACAGCACGTTCCCTATCAGTTTTGCATGACCTCCAGTGGCTGATCACAACAGCTGCAGCAAGACAAAAAGGCTTAGAGGTTCACCTGGGCTATGATCACTGCCCTATTTTGTAGGACGCATCCCTGATTTTTGAGTTATGTGGCTTAGGTAAGGGTTTTGGTGATGAATCAGTTTAGCTGATGCCAGCTAGTTTATGTATAGGGTTACCCGCTGGATAAGAAGCAACAGCTCTGCTATGTGGCAAGTCAGCAAAACTATCTGTAATGATGACAAATACAGTGAGGCAGGGAGAGCTCTGAGCTGCCCGGGCTCAACCACAATTTGCTGTGGTGGAGCAGTGCATCTAGTTTAATTAACCTTAATTTTATGGGGAAAACAGTTGCTACACTGGGGCTAGACACAATGGGTCAGGCTTTTGGAGCGACTACAAATAACCTGCATTACTCCATGGGCATGTCATGGCATAGGCAGGCAAATCAGGTCCTTCTGCGGTCCAGTATTTGAACTTGGAATTCAGGCCTCTTTTGGGAAATTTAGCCCCAAGCTTTTAGTCTCCTCCTCGTTTTTAGCTGCTCTGCCAGGTTCATGGAAGTTAGACATAGCAAAGCCATATTGCATGACTTAACATGCTCCCCCAACCCACATAATCTCTGCAAGACTGATTCTCTGTATGCTATAGTATCATGTGCTTGGCCAAATTTTGCTTTCACTGATGTAAAAACTAGGGAAATCTACTGGAGATCCTGGTCACTCTGCAGATTGACAAGACAGAAAGTCAAAGATCAAATAATCTTACAAAAATATTACTTTGAGCAGAATTTGCCTTGTTTTAAAGAGTGACTGAGCATCCATCACTTCCCGCTGGAGACCATTTCACCATCTAATAGAGCTCACTACTAAGTAACTGTCCTTTATAGTCAACCTAAATGTTCTGTTGCTCGGTTTCTACTCATTCCTCCTATCTACGTGCCCTTGAGCAACCTCAAAATGCTCCTCCTCTGGTGTTTATACTCTAAATTCTCATAAACAGTTATCACAACCCCTCCCCAGCCACACAAATGTGCACTTAGTCATCATTTAGCCAAGGATGCAGAGAGGATAATGTGATGCTATAAAAAGAAAAGTGATAAAAGTACTTCTCCATTTCCAGGAGAGTTAAAGATTTCCAGTAATGCTTTGTGCTATCTATGGGTCTGATTGCCCAAAAGATGGGCTTACATTGCTGCAGAGACCATGTCTTTCTGATCCCTTAGTTGAAGATTTAGCTTAAAAGGATTGTGCTGGGGTATATAGAACTGCTACCAAGAGTACTATGGGCCATGCACAGGATTGAAAAAGTCCTCCTTTCAGATCAGCACCCTCTCTCCCATGGTAGGGGAGGGGAAGAGTAGGGGTGATGTGACAGGTGGGGTAGGTATACATTGGGCCATGGAGTCCAGGGGTGGGTTACCAGGAGCTCCTGGCACCAACCTAGCAGAAGGTTGCAGAGCCCTCCAAAGGAACTCCCCACCCACACCCCTCTTGCAGCAGTGACAAGCCAGCGGCCAACAATTGCACTGTTTGGAGCACAAATACTTGCACTCCAGAACCCACGTGTTGGGCTCACAGGTGTACAGAGCCTGGTAGCAATTATCTTGGCAGCACTCCCTAGCTCCTGACCACTCATTAGGAAGGCAATGCAGAGTGAAACAGCTTCTCACCAACTCTCCAACCCTGTCTGCATTCCCTCTCCCATTTTCTGTAGGAGGGACAGGAGGGAGGCAGTCACAGCACAGGAGACTTCCTGTATATCTACCTCTCCCATCCACAAGGTCCATGCACCTATTTTCCTGCCAAGCACCTTACCCATAGTGTGCATGGAAGGTGAGCCTTATGTGGCTATACTAGGGCACAGGTCTCTGGAGAACTCTCCCCTTGTTTGTTCTAGGCTGGTAGAGAGGTTTCTCCTTCCCATGCCATGGAGTATTTGTACTTACTGCTTTTAAAAAGGGCCTCCTTGTACTAAAACTGGGTTTTGGTAAAATTATTTTCCCCAGAACTTGATCTGGAGGTTG